GAATCAGGCTAAAAATTTTGTATGAGTAGCGTAGGTGTCTGCTATTTGAGACTTCTCACAGAGCAGTCAGGACAGACTGAACAATGACCTTCTGCAGACAGCTTCCAGAAACTGGTTGCTTTCAAAAGTCCTCACCTCAAATCTACAGAGAATTTTGTCCTTAAGACAAGGTTGTCTTTTGGTATTTGAAACTTTCAGACCATGAGAGAGTGCCATGCTTTAACCCCAGCCAGCAACTAAGTACCATGCAGCAGCCTAACCCTAACATTATTAAGCTCAACATTATTCTCAGACTAAAGCCAAAACACAGCCCTGCCCCAGCTACTAAGAACATGAACTCTATCCCAGCCAAAGCCACGGCATATAAAGACTAGTAACATTTATTTATTAAGAAGGTGTTACACAGTTAGGGAAGTATAGCATAATGATTCAAGTGACTGGCAGCTGAAATGGATTACTTTGGCAGTGGGATGTGGATTACAGCGTGAGTCTAAAGTAATTTTGCAAGCTCTCTTTAAGACCTGAGTATGCCAGTGTATCAGGTGATATATTTCCGTCATGTTCACCATTTTGCAGTGTGGTGGCAGTACTGTGGAATTAGTAAAAACTTTCCATGTCTGTTTCCAATAGCACACAGTTCTGCAAGCACACTACACTGCAAGACAGCTGAACAAAGGTTGATATCTCACTTGACATGTTTACGGGTCTGGAAGACTAGGAGTGATTATAGCCCCCTGAATGTTAGCAGGGGAAGAGCACTGAGAAGTACCCTGAGACTGGGCAGGTGCCATTCATGGGGGTGAGTGACTGGTGTGATGCAGTTTGTCACCCATATAGATGTGCACAAATCTTCAAATGAGGAAGTTGCAAGCTTCTCTTAAATCAGTTTACCAATGCTCCAGGAGCCATTCCTGTTGCTGGGGGCTTGTCCTGTAGCAGGTTTTGTCATGAAGCTGCTACTTAGGTGATCCTACAGTGTCTACTGCAGAGGTTCCAGGCTGCCTGAACTGGCTAGCTCCTGTACAAAAGCAGCACAGCTATACCCATGGTATATGTGTTACAAGCAAGTAACTACTTGTATGACTTTCCCTAGGCAGAGTGCTGTATTAGCATGGCTTTGTGGCATCCTGTAACTGAGTAAGCTTACAAAATTGTCCATAGCATTGACTGGCATTACTGCAGCCATCTTACATGTGTTCAGACCTGTGCATTTGGGAAAAGAAATGCTACTGATGTTTAAGTGCACATGTACATAGCCAGGAAAAAAAAATTGTTTGATTGAAATAAAAAGAAACTTGTTCATTATTATTTTCTCAGTGAAAATAAAGCAAAATGAAAAAGTTTCCATTTCACAGCTTGTGTGGCCCAAACACAAACATTCCATTTCAGTGTTTGTGATTGTATGTTCTCTTGGTTCCTTTTCCTTTTTCATCTTAAACCCAAACTATTAATTGTAAAATGTAGTATGCCACTTGAAGGTAAAAGTTAGAACCTTTCTAAGCAAAACAAAAATCTTTAGGCTGCTCCTGCTTACTAGGCTCACTTAAGTGGATTGTGAAGTTTAAAGTGAGCTTGGACCGATCTCTTGCCAGCCTCCACCTTTAAGTCAGTATACTAATACTGCTAAAAAAACCCAATCAATTGCAGCTATAAACTGGAAATTATAACTAATGTACATGTATGTGTCACTGCAGAAAGGCTGGATCTGTGTAGTCTCAACAAAATGATGTGATTTCCATAGTGCTGATACATACTGTGTGGATGTGCTGACTGTATGTCATGCTACATGCCAACAGGCTGGCGACATGCTGCTTTCTTTCCATAGGGTTGTTGTTAAAGGTCACAGTGTTCACTCTGCAACAGTGTTTCCTTGATATTAGCAGCCTCATTTGTCAAAGCTGTTCCTCCTTGATTCTGACAGAGCAGAAATCTGAACTGCTGGGTTAAGGTTGCTGGCCTGGCAGGTTCTGCATGGAAACACTTGTGCCCAAATGAGGAACATTAAGATGCTTACTAGCTTGTTCTTTTTCATGACAGTAATTTATAGTTTGAGGCCTCTTAGTCCATTTATAAAATGTTTTTTGGTTAAAAAGAAACCTTTTAGTACCAGCAATCGGAATAGGTCTCTGCAAATACCTGTTCTGTGCTTTGTCATTAGGTTTCTAATGACACACTCCTAACATGTCCTTCAACATGATTATTCATAGCCTGTTGTCTGTACATACTCATTGGCCTTTTATTGCCTAGACCCTCTTTAACCATGTTATAAACCTTTTTGCCTTGGTTCTCTTGCAAGTAGCACTAACATTCAAGGTCAGTCAAGAATTGAAGGATTTATTTTGCTTTTTGAATGAGAATTTGTATAGGGGTTGGATGTCAAATTCCACATGATATCATCCATCAAATTGCTTAAAGAACTTAAATTTTAAGTATCTATTTCATCAGCCTTTCTGTATAATTAAGGCTCAGTGATGTTATTTTCAATTCTAGACTGAATATGTGTGCTTCCCCTTGATTAAAATATCTCCTTCATTAAATGTACCTTTCCTCATTTCTGAATGCATTTTGATGATGGTTCTTTAGGTTCTTTGCAGATCACTCCTTTCTCTAACTAGATGATGGCAGAAGCTTTGCAGAATACAGCTAGCTGCAGGATGAGGAGGAAACGTGGATGAGGTTACAGTGGTTTTACATAGGAGCACATAACTTTTTATTGCAAAAAATTCATTTAACCTCCCTCCCCACTCTACTCTTTTTTTGTCTTCTTTTTAGCTGGAAGATCATCTACCTCTGTATTCATTGGTAAATAAGAAGATAAAGGAAGGCTTTAGAGTCTGTGTGTGTTTTGTTTCTTTAAACTGTTAAATGTTGTCCTGCCTTACCTAAGCAGTGAACTTCTAGCACGTGTTGTAAATAGCAACCCCAGGGCTGCAGCAGGAACAGCAAGTGCAGCTCTTGGGATGTGTGAGAGACTGGGTAGGATCTGCAACATCTTTATGGCCATTTGAAAGACTCTCCTGTAGTTAGGTCTTTGCATTTTCCCACCATTCCACCAGCTGATGATGTCTCCATCCTCCTACTTCATTATTAGAGGCAGGTGAAAGAACTTCCTTTCATCCTCAACTACTGCTGGTGAGAGCAGGAAGAACCACTTAGATTGTTCCCCAACACTGATTTATTTTAGGCATGGCCTTGAATTTGTACTCTGAGCTGGTTGTTTCAGCCAATAATTGGATCAAACGCAAAAGGAAGAATTGTTTCATATGGGTAATTGTAAGTTGGACTTTAAAACATAATAATCAACTCTTAACCTATATATATTTTGTTGTAATTAATTACCTGTATAACTATGTGCACATTAATTATATCTATAAATAGTGATTATTTTTGTAGGGCTTTTAATTATATCAGAGTACTTATGAAATGCAGTGTTTTCACCGTCTCGGGGGGAGAGGGCAGTGTAAATTTAGGGACCCTGTGGCTGTAAGAGAACATATAATACACACTTCAGAAAAAACTTTGCTCAGGATAATTTATGTAAAGTTAATTGTTGGACACTTTAATGTGAATGTGTATATGTGTGCATACGGATGTGCAAATAGTATACAAATGGATTGAGGCATGACCAATCCCTATGGAGATTTGGTTAAGCTGATGAAAGACATGAATGACTGAAATAAATCATTCTGTGTATATAACTAGTAAATTACTAATGGCTTGCTTGAAAATGATGAGGTGTTTCTAAATCCCTGAATGCATGGAATTTAAATCCGTATCAGCTTTTGCTATCACATACCGGTTAAATCGTACTTCATTGTCCTGGAAAATAGAGATTCGTGAAAGAAGTCTTTAATTATCTATAGGGTTTCTTTCAGCCTGAAGAGCAACTGAAGAAGCTCAAGAGAATTATGAAGTCATTAAGTATTATAGGAATAAATTTTTGTTCTTGCTCTTAACCTCTTCATCCATACAGCCAGGAGCATCCATGTTTTATTTATGGGCTGGTAAATAATTTACATTTCATTTAACCTCAGAGCTTATTTAAAGGAAAAATTAAAGGGCATAGAAGGAGCATGTGGCTCCCAGATAAGAGAAGCTTTCTTAAAAATCATTCCCGTGAATAAAATGCTAGCTCAGAAATCTGGAAGCCTGCATTGAAGGCTGGTTCTGCAGGTTTCTTGTAGGAGTAGTAACAAGTCATGGGATTTTTCTGTTCCCAGATTCTTGCTTAAAAAACCCAACAAACAAAACCAACCAACCAAACTCTCCCTTTCCACTTCTTTTTATCCTCTTTACTAAGTCAGTAAATATTTTGGCTCCAGACTGTGAGCTGTGAGGGGTGCTCCTCAAATATAGTGTTGCTAGGATTTCAAATACGCTACTTTGAAATAGTAAATTAAATACATGTTTTTTTTCTGTATGCTTTTCACATAAAAAGGTTGTTCCTTTGTTTTTACAATCTTAATGTTTGAATGTTAACATTTCCTAAAGAAAATAGACCTGGAAAAAGTTGTGATCTTTGACAGTTTTAAAAAGAAATGTTTTACAAGTATAGTCTCTATTACAAAAGGAAATTTATTAAAATAAATGTTACAAGTTTAAGATAAAGTGTTTTATTTTGGGCTTATATTTGTCAGTTTTTTTCAGTTTTTTGTATTTGTCAGTTTCTTTCTTCATTCAAAGACATTTTCAGTTTTTTTTCTTTGACTTTTACTTTATACAAAAACTATTCTAAAATCTCTTTATATTTTGTCACTGACCTGGAAAAATTACCCATTTGTTCATTTTTAAGCAGGTGTAAAATCCACCAAGAATATTCTATTTATTCCTTCAGTCCTTTCCTACCCTAACTATTCTATGCTTCTGTGGCGCATCTTCAACAGCCAGTAACTAGGAAACTCCTTGGTTGAAGCTGATTTTAAATTAGGCCAGTGTTTTATATGTGGTGCTGTTTTGCTTCAATGTTGTTATCTTTTTTTCTCTTCCCCTTCTCCCTGAAGACGAAGGGTACTTGCTATATCTGATGGAATTGAAGACATTGGGAATCTACGCTGGGAACTTGCACTGTGCCTCCTTGCTGCTTGGACTATCTGCTATTTTTGCATTTGGAAGGGAACAAAGTCTACTGGAAAGGTAAGGTTAAAATTCTGTGCATAAGCTGTATTTATGACTCTCTTATGCTCCACACCTGTGCTGTTGTTTCTAGCTACTTAAATCAGAATTTCACAGGCTTCGTGTTGCTGTAAGCAAATATACTTGGGGGTATATACATTGTAATAGTAGGCAATTCAGAATCAGTCATACTTCGTATTGTTTCGTTCCTTTTGGTTTTCATGGTTTGTTTTTTCCCCTAATTCTTTTGGGTGTGGCTAGTTGTTTTGGGGTTGGTTTTGTTAATGCTACAGACTATACACTACTAGCCAGTCCTTGAACCTGAAATCAATACTGCATTCTGTTAACTACTGTGCATGAGGTATCCAAAATCTGAATCGTCTCCCAAACTGACAGAGTTGAAACTCTCAGTGCCACAAATAAATTACACACAAAAGAAGAGAGAATTTAGACATATAAACAACCTACAACAAATGCAAATAGAACAGCAAAAGCTGAAATAATGACAAAAAGTAAAAGATAGAAAGATGGACATAGTGGTGGGGGGAAAGAAAAATATTTAGTACTCTTGCAACTCTTCAAGTGACTGCCATTCCGTATGGGATACCCAGGAGAGAGGCACAACTTCATAGCCTAAGTGAGCTGCAGGATGGTGGAGAGGTTGCCCCTGGAGTAGTAGCAGATGTAGTTCTGGTGGAATATCTGATTAATCAGCTCAGCAGAGAGAGGGAAAGAGCCATAGCTCTGGAGAGTTTTGTGTCTAAAAAAAGCACTGGTTTCTCATGTTGGAACCAAAGAAGACAAGGGGAAAAAAATGGTGGACTGAAATATCTTGTGCATTTGATTGTCAATTATTTATTATTTAGTTTAGAAGCAGGGTTGGGTTTTTTTTGTTTCTGGTTTAGTTGCATACATTTAGAAATGAACTGTTTGAAATAGAGTTCATATTAATTTAGAAAATGTCAGAGTGCTTTTTTCAGCTCCCTCAATGACACACATCCTTCCTCCTATCAAAACTTTGGCTGCAACTATTTGCTGAATTCTGTCTGTATTTGCCAACTGTGTCAGTCAATCTGGTACTGTGCTTTTCCTCTAGGTATTTGCACACACACATTTATGCGGTCCTACTTTCATCAAGTCATTGCAGGAGAACCACTGAGACAGACTGTCTACGGATACATATAGGCATGAATAGTTTAGAGGAAAGAAGGGAAAAAAAAAACACAACAAACCCTAAAGAGAGAAACAGGGAAAAGCAAAGGTGATGTAAGGGAATGACAAGATAAATGTCCACATGCCTTTGAAGCATGCACTCCAGGGAGGTGCAAAAGTGGTTTAGAGTTTTCTGAGGAGCTACAGCTGGCAGTGAAGAAATGAAACTGAGCAAAACTAATTTTCTTTTTTCCATCAGAAAGAACGTCTGAAGATGGAGATTTATTCTACCATAGTATAATCTGACCCAAGGGTGGAAGAAAAACCATGTACTGTGAATGCACATGCCTGCGTGCGTGCAAAGTTGTGCAAATCTGCCCTGTACTCCACAAAAACAGCCTTGGTAGAAATCATTTGCTGATAGGAAGAGGGGCTGGTGATTGTGGGAAGGGTATACTTTACGTTTCTGTGGTTTACATACAGCTTTTTATTGTTCTTCATATACAGTCACATGAGATTCTTTCAGCTTATACCATTTCCCCAGAAACAGGTTTTGCATTTTGGAAGTCACTAAAGCAAAACTGAGCTGTTTGACTCCTTTTTGTCTGTTTTTCCTGGTAGCTTAGCTAAAACCTCAGCTTACTGCTGGGTGGAATAAATCTGATTTTATTTCATTTCAGTGTGATTTTGGTAACCACCTTTGTGATGAGGTTAAGTGAATCAGCCTGAGAGAGAGATACTTGCTTTGCCCCCTTGAAATGGGATGATAAGCTTTTCAACTAAGCAGAAATAACTAGTGGTCGTGCAAGAGAAGTGCACAGAAAATGGAATTAATACCCAATATTCAGCCTAATAGGTTGCTTGAAAAAATTAGATCAGGGTCAGTAAGAAGCAGATTATCATATATTTACACTGTAGAGTGGTATACCATGGGCAGGAGTTCTGGCTCCACTGCTTCTCAGGAAACATGCTGTAAGGATCTTTCATACCCAATACTGATCATTTCTTCTTCCAGTCTGTTCCTGGAATTAGTAAGGAAAGATTTTTAGCTTTTTACTAGCTGAATAAATGACATTGCAATTGGTTTCCAGTGCTACATTAGTTTTTTTTTCCTGGATAAAAGTTCACTGTTTAGAGTTATTTAAGAATTTTAATATTCTTACACTTGCCATTTCTTACAGCCAAAGCCACTGGAAATCTGTGCTATATCACTGCCTTCCCGGAGCAGCTAAACAAAGATGTACCAGGCAGGCATGCTGGATGCTACAAAGGAATAAAATGCTCTGAAATACAGATGACAGAGCAGTCTTCTGGGCTGGAGTTTCCAATTCTGATTTACTGGCACTTAGAAAGTTCATATTTAAGCTCAGTGCAATTGTAGCCCTTCGCACTAGATTGAATTTCTTATATGCACGTTTCCAGGAAACATCTAAAATTGATGTTGAGATTTTTATCATAGTATAAAAGTGGACTTAGGTAGCCTGTTAAATTTGCTATGCACTTCAACTGGATTGAATAATTTCAATGAAATAACACATTTATTCAAAGTATAAAACTTCTTAAAGATTTATCACCTTGGAATGGTGATGGGAACCTTGAAAATGGAAACATTTTCAAAGGAAGATGTCTGAATAGCTAGAGGGAAAGAGGAGAGGGGAAACGGAAAGAGACAAAATGGAGAAGGGATGGGAGAGACTTACCATCTTCACACAGCTGTCTTCTGTGAAATATTCAAGAGGTTGGTTTGCTCTTCTCCTCTTTTTAGTCTGCATCCTAATGCATGGTGGAAAAAAAAGCTGTCATCAAATAAACCCATCATTATCCAAGTAGCACTACCACAGAACTCATCTGCTCATATTATGAATATTTAATATTTTAAGTTATTAAATACGTTAAATCTAACATAAAGTTTAACTCCAAATGAAATGCTTGTGACACTGTTAACGAGATGCTTCAAGCTTCCCTGTTACTGTTCTTGAAAGTAGTCACATTCTCACAAAACATTTTAGTTTTAGATTCCAAGACTTTTAGGTGGTTTTGGTGGCTTTCAGGAGGAACACATTTGTGCCAGCTTCTTGCCATTAATCATTCAATCTTAGATCTGAAGTTATTGTATCTTAGTTTCCACGTTTAAAATGTAGCATATATACCAAATTCAGGATCTTTGAACGAAAAATTCAAAAGCAAAATGAGGAAAAATTTGACTAAGTAATGGTATCATAATGTTACCTGTGTATTGCAACTTGCTGAGCTTGATGATTTCTGATATCCACCTTATGCAGAAGTATTTTCAGTAGCGAGCATCAAATGCTTCCACAGATGAGGTAAGAATTACATAAAAGACTGAAAAAAAAGGAATTTTCTACACATTTAAAGCATCATTCTGGACTCTCAATGTTAGGCTTATCTTACTTATCAAAAATATTTTTGATTGCTAATTACAGTAATTGTTTCTATAATGTATATACCTACATAGTAGCTGAGTTTGTGATCTTTATGTAACATGCATGAAATCTTCATGTACCAGGGAAGCAGGGTCTTTTTTGTATCTTGACTGTCTGTTTATGAATTTGACTAAATGCCCTTCTACTTTCAAGTCTGGGGAAGAGACACCAGAAGTTCCTAATCTGTTTTTCTTAAACTGGTGAAGGCAGTAATCCTGTCTTCTCTTTTTCCTGTTTTTATGAGAGTATGGGAGTCGTTTCAGATACTTATTCCTTCTCCGAGCTCATGGTGACTCCTCACTTGTAGTAACTTCTTCTCACTTGTAGTAACCTCCTAACTCCTTTTGAAGTGAGGAGGCTGGTAGACTTCAAGAGTTACATAAAGGCATTATGGTAGTCTCTGTCTTGTTCAGTCCATTCCTTTTCAAGCATCTTGCTTACTTTTGAATGCATTAACACATCCCTGTCTGGTGCCAATACTGTTAGTTTGGAACCCTGTCAGGTTTGTGGATTTACATAGTCACAAAACTGTGCAGGTTGGAGGGGGTTGTAGGTCAAGTTTTGTCATTTTATAACTCAACACAGAGTCAGTGTTTTCTGGTTAGCAGCTGTTAAAAGAATATTGTTGTGTACCTTCAGGATTTTTGCATTATTTAGCATTAGAATACTGCACTGCTTCTGTGATCGCTAAGACCAAGACTCATATATTTTTGGGTCTTTTTGAAAAAGTTGTTATTCGTATCATAAAGACTTCTTAAGTAACACTGTAGTGTCTACTGCAGAGGTTCTAGGTGCCTGAACTGGCTAACTTTTTCCTCTAACTTCTTTTGCCAGATCCAAACCCCAAGTAGTTCTTCCACAGTGTTTTTGTACTTCTTCATTGGTGCTGGCCAGTATGTGGTCAGAAATCTTTCTGACTTTGTTTCAGGAAGAGGGACAAATCTCATACAGGATTTGAAGTCCATTCTTCAAAATTTTCTGGAGCTAATTTAAGTATCACAGAGATAGGCTTCAGTATGCACTAAATATTCAGTAATCACTGATTATTTTTCTGTTTGATTCCAATTTCTGAATCTTTTGATCTCTTCCTACTCTGTTGAGTTTCTTGAAGTCCAACATCATCCTATTCTTACTGTATTAGCTTTATGCTGTCTCTCCACTTGATTTGTCTTAAAGCTAAGACAAAAGGAGAGACCATTAAAAGTAGACAGTGATGAAAAGCAAGGTCAGGAGTGTTGCCCTGACTTGGCACAGGAACATGCAAAAACCATCAACTCCTCATATGCATAAAGTATCTACAAAACAGTCTAGAGAAGACCCAGAGCTAAGGCTGTGTCCCCTGTAAAAACCTGTGGATGTTGCTCTAAACCAAATTTGCTTGGCTTTTCAGATCATAATCAACTTTGAAAATGTCTTGCATGCTGT